GAGAGAGAGAGAGAGGAGAGAAAGATGAGAGAGAGAGAGAGAGGAGAGAAAGATGAGAGAGAGAGAGAGAAGAGAGAAAGATGAGAGAGAGAGAGAAAGAGAAAGATGAGAGAGAGGAGAGAAAGAGATGAGAGAGATGAGAGAGATGAAAGAGATAAGAGAGACAGTGAGAGAGAAAGTGAGCGAGTGCGGCCGCAAGATACGCAACGCTAACCGCATGCCAAAGAGCGACGACAAGACGGAGTCGAACTTGCGAAGAGGGAGGTGGGGAGAGGGGAGGAGGGGGGGGGTTTTCGACCTGAATAATCAGGGGTTAGGATTTGCACCCGATCGAAAGAAACCTTGCTATCGCAAGAGTAACTCCAGCTAGCTTCGCTAGCTTTCGTGATAAATTAAAAAATCGATCTAAATCATCCAAATCTTATAATAATTATCGTTTCGCAATATATTATATTATATAGAATATTAGTATATTCACCCACACGATCTATATACATATTATTATATATATATAAAGAATCACCGATACAATATCATTCCTATAAAATAATACCATAATATTAATAATAGACTATTATTGATAATATAATATAATTCTAATATGTCATAATATAAATCAACATATAATATATTATCATTCCTTACACGGTTTGATATCACTTGAGAGAGGAGGGGGTGAACGAAAGGTAGCAGGCAATCACAAGTAACCCTGCTTGAAGTCCATGACGGCGTGAACCGGCGCAGGGGGGATTTGATCCCCCCCCCCACGAACAGAATCAACTCTTACAGGACCAAACTCAATGCACAATCCCAACTCCTGATTGGAATACATTTTTGCTAAAGCAAGGAGAACTCAGGTAGCTCAAGCTACCTTTCGTGACTTCTACTTCGAATATGATATGACATCATTCCTGTAATATCAAAGAAACAATATTAAAATCTATCTTGTTGATACTAATCATTATCAACAACACGACAATCATCGTCATCATCGCTGTCATTGTCATTATCATCACCGCCGCTATCGTCATCATATGAAATTGTGCAAATGCAACTGGTTGACATGTCAAGGGTCATCACCATCATCATCGTCATCATTATCAAATGCATAGACGCAGGGGCGAATGTCATATTCTATATAGACATGTTTGTGTCGATAGAAATACGGAGGTTTGAGGGATATAGGTGTGGTGTAGATATTGCAGGTGTTGAGATACAGGTGCTAAGATTTAGGTGAGAATTCCAAAACTCAACTACGTAATTACAACTTCGAAATCGTTTTAATTACTCTATATTACTCTTATGGCGGCGGGGTGGCTGGACCGATGGTCACGAAACGCAACCCTCTGCATCTCTGAGAAGATCGTGCGTGTCGGACGCGCGAAACTGTGGTAATATGCAAATCGTCGTGGTCCCCGAGTCCCGAGGCGCCCTCTGCGGAGATTGTGTGCGTCGAGCGCTCAATCGACAGGTGAAATGCGAATTGAGCGGAATGCGAATTCTGCATGCGGTGCTTGGGCGGGCCTGTGCAGAGCTCGTGCGTCTTTCGTCCGCGGGCATGAGGCGAAATGCGAATTCTGCGGTGCTTGGGTGAACCCTCTGAGGAGATCGTGCGCGTCGAGTGCGCGAACGTCCTGGGACACCCCTCTACACAGGTCGTGCGTGTCAACTGACATGGAGGTCAAAGTGTGTAACTGTTGTCGTTGAAAACGAAGGTGGGTGTTGCCAAGATGTGTAATAACTGTCATCGACGTCGAAAACGAAGGTGGAGGTGGCCAAAGTGTGTCGTAGAAAACGAAGGTAGAAGTGGCCAAAGACTGTATAAGTGTCGTCGAAAACGACAGTGGAGGTGGCCAAAGTGTGTACCTATCGTTGGAAACGAAGGCGGAGGTGGCTACAGTTTGTAACTGTCGTCGAAAACGAAGGTGGAGGTGGCCAAGGTGTGTAACTGTCGGCGAAAGTGACGATGGAGGTGGCCAAAGTGTGTAACTGTTGTCGAAAACGAAGATGGAGGTGACCAAAGCGTGTAACTGTCGTCGAAATGGGGACTCAGTAGTATAAAATAGTATAAATTTTGTGCGGGAAGCACCTTCTCGGAGCTCTGGCCTGAGAACTGGCCACTGGGTAGTGCAAATGTAATGCGAGAAGAAGCTTGTGGGGGCTGTGGGCCAAATTACGTCTGTGATGTCGCTGTGCCCTGTGGTTTTGAGCGGCCTCGGTGGAAAGTGCGTTTGAGTGAGTCCGTGCTACTGGGGGAAGGGAAATATGCTGGTGTAAATTTGGCGTGTCGCTGAGGAGCAGGATGATTGGCGGTGTCCACGAGCCTTGGTATTAGCACAGTTGTGATCCTCATCACTGTTGTCACCACCACCTCCATTCTCATCTTCATCGTTACCTTCTGTCATCTCCTGCTGTGCTTTCGGGCCACTCTGTCTAGTTTCGATATATATACACACACACACATATATATATATATTTTTAAAAATATGCAAACATATACAAACATTGACATGATGTTCGTACATTACGGGCTTATTATCCCTTTTAAATTGTCTTTTGTTCCAGGAAGCTGATCTTTACATCAGAAAACGAGAACTAAACAAGCTGGAAGCGGTTGGGTGGGCGCCTCTGAGTCTACTGAACTGCTGGAGCATGCAAGCGCTCCTGCAAAAGCTGAATGACACATTGATGACAAACTGTTGTCCACAAGTGCTTGTCGTTTTGTCTTTTCCCCTGGTCTTGGTTCATCCCTAGTTTGACAGATGCTGATGCTTGAGCGATGCACCAGCCACAAAGCCCACAAGAAGTGATTCCAAATGTGACGTAAAGGTAGGAGTCCAACCTTGGGCAGAACGCCCCACATCCCTGTGATGGTACGTAGTTTTCGCATGACATCGACCGTGAACCGATTGTTCCGTTCGCCTCCTCAGCCTTCTGCAAGCGTCGGCCCTTGGAGTGGCTCTTGGACTTACGGCGATGGACCCAGCCTCAGTTAGAGCTCATGACACGAGTTCTGGCGAATGTCTGCTGTCTAGAGTCAGGAGATGTCTCTACAGCCCCAAGTGGCTTAGGTCAGGTGTTGTTCCACAGCCATAGTCAGGTGGCTTAGGGGCCTGGCGTCTCATACAAGCACTATTTCCGGGCGGAGCTTCTGCCATGCTCTCCCAAGGGCTTCAGCGTGACAGTCTTCTGAGGTGTGTTGATCTGAATGGTCTGAACCTTTCATTGGATTGGCGTTATCTTGAGCACCTATGCCATGGAGCAGTTCGCTGTGGTCTGAAGCAAAGCCAGAAAGAAGGGATAACATTGCAATGCCAAGCGGCAATATTATTGGTTCAAAGGTTTTGGAGACACACACACACACACCCACATACACACACACACACACCTAAAAAACACATATATATCTACTGTATATACCCCTGCTGTTGGACATGCCTTTGCATGCCCATGATCAAAGGAGTCTGCTTTCCGGCGGTGCAAAGAATCTCATCCTGACCACAGGTGTGTTGCTCTTGGCAAATGCCGATTGAATAATGTCTGGAGGTTGGGCGTTCCAGCTGGGCTCCCGCACGGATGTCATGGTCAAGTTCACTGCCACCGGGAAACCTGAGGCTACAAGGGTTCGTCAAAAAATTGCCAACCCTGGGTAACAAATCACATTTACATCTGATTTTTGTCCGAGTCCTGTCATTAGTTCTGAGCAAAGTCCCGTGAGCAAAGGACACACGTGCCACCGCAGGGGCTGCAAGTCATGGTTCGTGTGTTTTCAAATCATCTAAAGTTGAAAGCTGAGAGCCATTGGGCAGTCCCTGCCGTTTTGGGCTCCCAAGGCGCTGAACGAGTCCTTCTCCAGCTAAGAGGCTGGAGGCTTTGAAGTTCACCAGCAGTAACTTTAGTCTTGCCAGCCTCACATGAGCGGACCGCGGACCAAGAGTGAGAGGAAACAGGTCAATTGGAACATTGTAGACCACACTTCAATAGCTCGGTTTCACGTTCTGCTTCTCCCTTCAGTTTGCATCACTCATGGTGGATTTTGTGTGGACAACTTGCACATTGACAAAGCAATAGCGGCTAGAACCGTTCTAGCCTGAATGACAACAAAACCGACCAAGTTTGAGTAACAAAAAACACCAATGGAGGACAACACATCATGCAACATGACTCATGCCAGCAACGTTGAATCCAACAATAAGGTGAGCTACTAGGAGCAAGAAGCTACTAGGGGCTCCTGGCATCGCTACTAGGAGCAAGGACGCTACTAGTGAGGTGAGCATCCACATGCGTCGAATCAAATTTCACATCTCTCGTCGTCAAAACATGTTCGCACGACTCTGGGAGCTGGGATCTACAAAACACCGGGAGGGGAAGGACGGGCTCTGGACCACTCACTCACTGTACCGTTCGTCTAGCAGTGCAAATCCTTCTGAGTGCAATTCCTCCATTAGATTCTGGTTGGTCCCGTGCTTGATTTTCAACTTTGGGCCCTGATCAACTCTATGAAAGTAATCATTAATTCTTGCAGGGCTTTCCTGCAAAGTCAGCTTGATTGAGCAGACATATTGCATCGTGTAGGACTACCAAAGGTCCTACTATGGTGGATCAGATTTGTCAAGTCCTGTGGCCTACTCACTCAAAGGTCCCATCAACATCATAGGACATATAGGACATGGTCCTGGTAGACATACCATAGGTTCAAAACCTACAGAACCCACTCACTACACCAACCAATTGCCGCTGTTCCCGATTCATGTCCAAGAGTGAGTGACCACGTCAAGAGTTCTTCTCCCCGTTCCGCCCCTTTTGAGGAAATATCACTGTCATTATCCTAGTGCTGGGAGGATGGCCCCAAAGAGGGTGAACTTCGATGGATTGTTTGCTGGGGTGGCTCTACAGGTCGCACCCGTCAAGTCTGTCTTATCCAACAAAGAGTCACTCGTGTTTCGAGGGTCAGCCATTAGAGTCCGCAAAGAGAGAGAGAGAGACAGAGAGTCAGTCAGAGTCCGTGTGTGCCTGGGTGCCCTTAAATGTGGGTGACAGTGTCTCGATACGTGGGCGAGCCCATCTTCTGACTACAGCTGGTGCTTGTCATTATTGCTTGGTCTCAGGATGGGATGGGCTAAATATACAAATGTTCAAAGGTCCTGCAACCAACAACAGCCCTTTTCGAATCTCCCATTCCTTTGGCTATTGGAGCGGCTGATCAAGGTCGGGAAGATCACATCCCAAATCACCAGATTTTACTCAACAACAATCCCATCGCCAATCACAAATCACAAAATCACCAGATCACATCCCAAATCACATCCCAAATCCGGAGGGCACATGGCCTCATACAATCCCATCGCCGTTCTCACTCGCTCAATTGCCCGGGTGCCGGTGCGGCTTGACCTCCTCCAGCGGAGCGATGTTCCAAGCCCTGGTAGGCGATGACACAACTCCGGGTGGCCTGAGGCGCTCCGTCTTCCGCTTGGGGATTTTTCATCTGAGAAACACATCCAAAATGAGATCGGAAGGTCAAGGCCTCATCAATTTCGGCGAATGTCCAAACAATACTGGCAAAACCATGGTTTGAACGCCACGGCCTAGCCCTTTGCTCGGCACTGCGAATTTACAAACACAAGGTGTTTTCAGTGTGAGTAAAGCATGCGGCAAGGACATAGATCTTCACTTCACCTAGCCTATGATCCTGTCTCTGCCCAGGATGCAGCCCCTCACACGGGTTGTGTTTAACAGTGTCCAGGCTCTTCTCCACAAACCCAAGCCGAAACCAAGGAAGGAAAGGCCAATGCCGAAGTTTTTGCACAGGACCCGCTTGACATTAGGTTGACTACTACTTAGATAAGATCTAATTAGTTGTGTCGTTATCGCTATCCTGGTTGCACCTCTCAAAGTAAAGGTGGAAGAGATGCTCGTGAGGTTTCAAAGTGGGAATGTCAATTGTTTCCATCAAAGGAGCCGCTATTGCGGAAATTGATCAATGCAGGAGCAGCAACAAAACTACAACTCACGTTTAGCATGGAAAGGCTCATGAGGAAACTATTTGTTTGAACGCATTCCCTTGGCCATGCCCCATGGCTTGTGATAGGTCTGCAAAGCAAGACTAATGCTTTGTGATCCCAAACAGGTCTGATCTGGAAATAGGATCTTGTCACTAGAATGCTTGTAATCAGCACACAGCAGCTCAGGCCGTTGTAACCTTGCCACTGTCAACTTCGAGGCTCTGAAGACCAAAACATCACAAATTCCCATCGGCGCTCAAGGGAATGGCGGAGACTGCAATCTGCCGGCAAGGTGCTCCACAGCGGAACTGGGAATGTAACCCCTTATCCAACAGCCTCGGGCACCAAACCCAGAAGAAGAAACACCGCTCGATCCACCGGGCATGGCCTTGGAAGTGTCTGCCATCCACAGCTCGATGTCATTCATCGCCGTCAACCGCCGCGGAGCCCTGCGGAGCTCTGCGGAGCGACAAGTCCAGTCCCCGGTCTTTCCAACCTCGTGTGAGTCCGGGACAGCTGAGAGACCATGGTCCTCATGACCTCTCTACAGCTGAGAGGGGCCATTGGTCCAACATATGATCGTCATTGCAGGGAGCCCTCTCATCTGCTTCCAACAACCACAGGAAGGGGGTACACGCACTCCCGATGGGCACGGTGGTTCCTGTATGAGAAAAAACGATGCAAGGGTCCAAAGGAATGAACACCAAGAAACGACTGTGAGAAGTACAAACCTGTGTACACTGTCGCGTATCACCAACAGAGAGAATGCATCTATCTACGCACAACAGCATTAACAGCATGTACTAACATGCAACTAATCGGGCGCTACATGTGGAGGGAGGAGGGAAGCAAGATCTTTGGATTTGCGAATGGCATAGCGAACTTGCATATTGAAGGATCCCGTTTATCCATGCAAATTTCTGCAAGACTTTGATCAACGAGAAAAGGCTCAGGTACAGAGAAATGAGGCATCGGAACTTCATGTTACGGTTGGAAAGGAGGAGGCACAAGAAAGATCTCCAGGATGTTTTGCATCGCTTTTGCAACCTGATCTGACTTTGGCAAATTGGAACAAACAGCCAAACCCGATTGGTAGATACCAGCAAAACCAAGAGATACGAGCAAAACCACAGAAATGGGTGTGTCATGTCTTGCGTCGGACATGTTCACCAATCCCAGTTTCACAATATTTTTGCAAAGCCAGTGCTTCACCTGACATGGTCCATGAAGTAATGCCACTCCAAGAAACGTTCTACATTCACAAAGATCTGGCTTTGTGCGAGATCATACTTGAGCTGTTTCAAGGATCTGAGATCCTTTGGAACCCCCGCTGGGGTGTTTCAGACTCCTGCCTGAAGGCCTGTCGCTCATCGGATTGCGCCACGGGAGCATTGGACTTCCGGCCTTGGATCGGCACGGCTAGTCCTACATGGGAACAGCACGGCTAGTTCAAGATCTAGATGCCCCAGTATCGAAATTCCACCAGCGTGTCTGGGATCTCTTTTATGGTGTGTTTCGTGGTGCTAGCTTGCTTGGCACTGTTTTTTGATGTTCATGGATGTTCGTCTGTTCTATGGCTGCTTGTGGCGGGGCAACTCTTGTCATCGATGTGTCGATCTTCCCCCCAATGACTGGATGACACGCACAAGATGGGCCCGAGGTCGCTGAGGAGCAGCAGCTCGCCAACGATCCCATGGACTGGAAAAACACCTGCCCCGCTCAGCCTCTCAGTCTTCACAGGGTCTGCTGTGAAGAGGGTCCATCTGTTCCTATTCGAGGGGAAGCACCAAGGCAAGTTTCTACAAAACCATCCATGGATCTTGGTAAGCCGGCTTGGGACCAGATGCTTGAGGTTTGCACACTCCAAAGTTTCTTCAGCACAGGGACGCATTGAGAAGCCATAGAAGCTCTTCAAGGTCTGCTCGTCACTGCTGCAGCGATCCACATAGAGAAGCCACTGATCAACTTGATCAACACCTCTGCGCTGAATGGCTTAGGCTAGTGGAACATGGTGGAACCACACATGTTTCATAAGCACTTTCTGAACCTTAGTGGTGACCCGAGATAAGAGCAAACTCGTATCAAGGATGTGGCAGTCAGTGGCAAACTGCTCCAAGCCAGTGCCAAGTGCAGCTCTAACTCTTCTCAAAACCCTTCAGAAGTAGATACAATTGCAAAACACCTGGGTTGCACCACTGGTTGCACCTCATCAGGCCATGGCCTATTGGCCTTTCAAGGTAGCAAAATCCTCAACCATAACAGCAAAAGTGCAGGAAAAACACACTATTTGAGGCCTTTCAGGACACCAGCAGAACTGTAGATCTCCTTCTCCTCTAGGGCCCGCTGCCTGCAGCCGTGGAATCAGGTTGGCAGGGCATGGGCATGAGGCTACCTGCATTGTGCACCCGGTGATGTACAGAAAAAAGGGTCCACTGTCACCCGGCCTGCTGTTTTCAAAGTCTTTCGCACCCAAATAAGCTCCAGATTCCAAATGTAAAGCATTGGTCTCCAGCAATGGCAGCTGCAAAGATCGGAAGAGCTCAAGAGCCTCCTATCCAGGCGAACGGCCACGTCGACGTCTTAGACGGCCCCCTTTGGCATCAATTCGCAACAAGTGGTTGTGGTTGAGGATTGGTTTTGTGGTCGCATGTCTTCTCTCAGTCTCGAAGAGTGAGCTCAAAAAGTCCCGCTCTTGGACTCTGGTCAATCAACGTGCCAAAACAAACGAAGTGCTCAAAGGTCTCAGTGACAGAACAACGCTCCATGCCAGGGTCCGCCTATACACGAAGCACACACTTGGACACACCGAGGAGTGGAATCCCCAATTCGCTCCTGGGCAGCTTCCAAGGCGGCTTCCCAATTGTGAAGGGCGAGGTTGATGTTGGCCAAGCCTAAGAGTGCGAAGCCGACAAAAGAGCGCGACTGTCCGAGCAGCTCGGACAACAGCCAACACTCACTTCACACATGGCCGACGTCCAAGGTTTTCATTTTTGCAGGGGCGAGGCCTGTGCTTTCATTGGCACCATGCTGAAGGACAAGCTGAAGTGTCTTGGCGACGCCTTTGAGTTGCCAGCCGTCCATGCGACGTCTTTGAGCAAGAGCCGGTGTCAGCTACAGCCAGAGCCAGTTCGCAACGCTGAAATGTTCCCGGGGCCCAACAATCTCAAGGGTGTTCAACTAGGTGAAGCTGCTACCAATTCGGATCCAATTCGGCCCCGCCAAGAGACAATGAAGGCTATAGCCCATTTCCTGAGCAAAACCATCAAGCAATCATCTTGGGAATAACGAATTACTGGATGGGCAAAATTCAGGACACACGAAACTGTTGCAGTTCCTCAACATCTGCGACTCCCATTCGACAAAGGCATAAACAGTTTGTTCTGGTAGCTTCCACCGCATGCCTCCCCGCAAAAACATCAACACAACACACAATCTATTTGCGTTGAACATTCACAATAGCAACCCACATCGCCAAACCCTTTTGAACAAATAAAGCTGTGATGGAAAGATGTATGCACATATATATATATATATACACATGCACACATTCATCAAACACACTGACAATAATAGTAGCATAGTACAGTAGCAACGATCTGCTCCAGCCCAAACCTGTCGAGTTCGCCCAGTTGTCGGCCAGGCCGATCGATGGTTCAAGCATCGACACTTTTCTCGTTGAGGTCATGGTACAGTGAGACTGACTCCTGGGACGGTTCTGAACTGGCACATTCTTGTGCAAGACTTGGTTCCAAAGCGGAAACAAGGATCATGCAGTCAATGCCCCCAACATAGGGTTCAACCTTTGGATACCTTTGGTGGTTTCTGGAGAGACGGCAAGGCGTTTCACCGCGCTTGCGTGCGAGTGCTTTGAGGCCAGCTTACCTTAAACATCCTTAAACACATTTCTAACCAAACCGGCGTGCTCCAAGTTTCCTTCGAAGTTTGTTGAATATGGCTGAATGGAATGCTATGTATGGGTCTTTTTCAGCATTCTTTCCACCACTCAGGTTTCACGTCGATCGCCCTGTCACACCCAACGAATCGATGCTCTTCTCGTCAGACTCGCCTCAGGTCCTTCGCCGATCGCGTCAGGTCCGGTCCTTCGCCGCGCGGAGGGCTTCGTGCAGATTTCCGTCCGCCTTCTCAAGACCACACAGGGAGAACCTCGGTCCGTTCGCTTCGGTTTCCGCCTCGAAGGTTGCGCGGTTGCGCGGGGGCGACCACGTGGCCCCCGAAACAAAGATCATGGGTGTCTAGAAGCACTGGGATGCCCTGAGCGTCCAATTCGTGTACAATTGCCTGCCAGCAGAACACGATCTTTCCAGCCCAAAACGTCTTGGGAGGTGCAAGAATTGAACCCACAGTGGGTCACAAAACAACAACATCCCGCAAGCAAACCAACAGGCCAACCTGAAGCATTGTCATGTGCCCGGCTATCCACGTCAGAGGCATTGAATTCAATTGCACATGATCGTGGTTCTGAGCTTTCTTCCATCCATTCTGAGCTTTCTTCCATTCATCAAGGAAGTAGTTGATGATCAAAGCACCACCGCCCTCGAAGCGCCCCACAAACATAACATCTAACATCACCGTTACTACAGTAATGAATCTGTCCCGCGGGGGTTGGCATGTGTGAACGTACCCAGTTTCACATCAATGCGATAATCAAGCGATACGAGTGTATCGTTGCTGGGATCGTGGCATACGCTGGCCTGTTCCCCTTTTTCGGGAGGAACCACCTACACTCGCCTTCGGGAAGTGCAGCTCGACCACCTGTAAGGGGTTCCCTCAATTCCTTTCAAGGACACTTTTCCATTAGGAACATCTCAGCATGCCTCAGCTAAATAAAGCAAAACCGAATCTTCCCCTTGTGATTCCTGTCAGTCCAGGCGCTGAATTTCAGCCAACATCGCTGCCAGCTGTGCGCGGCCCCGGCGGTCTCCAACGGCTTGGAAGCCTCTGGCGCTCCTCTCTGCTGCAGGAAGTGCCTGCAAGCCAGTGTCACATCCAGGCGAGAACATGTGAACGATGGTTGCAAACAGAAGTTGTTATTATTCTGTACGCAGCAATTGCAACCCCTGGCCAATTTGGCCATTCTGGCATGTTCTCCAAGTCGTGAATGCCTCTTTGATTCTTACCAAGTTTCTACATCCAGCAACAATGGCAAACGGCAAACGGTGCGTGTATGCTTTTGTGACGGCCAGCACCATCCCCACAGCCAGCCAGCCTTCGAGAGTTCGTTCCTCGGTGTCTTGGCCAGCTTTGTGTGAGGAAGGCTCTACTAGCTTCTGGCTACCTACGTAGTACTGCCCTTGCCCTTGTTACTAGCTGGCTACCTACGTAGAAGAACTCAATGGCCAGTCCAGAGACATGGCTCTTCAATAAGTGGCTTCTCACGAGACTCCCTGGCTGAGGTACGATGTTCCTACATATGATGGAACTGAAAGAGTGACCTCCTCCACTGACGAGCTATTGAACATTTGGCGAGCGATGTTGAATCTGGTTGAGTGGGTCATCGACTGGCGTTCTCCAAGATGCTTCTCCAAATGGATCTTGGCACTCAGTTGCCACGCCTTGCAGCTCTAACTCTGTGGGCTCGTGGTTCAAATTCGCACATGCAGTGGCTTCAATGCACGTCATCCAAAAACTGATGCATTTGGAAAAAGGGTCTGAAATTTGTGCCTGTTGGTTGCTTTGCTCAGAACTCATTGTTATATTGTTATTGTCTTTTGCTCATTCTTGTTCCACCCTATCATTGCAGCCAAACACCACCAAAACAACGCGCCTCTCGCAAACGGCGTTCATGGGATTCACATGTTCAAAGGTGTGCCAGTGATTTGTCCGTTGTCCCGGGTGAGCAAAACCTCTTTGGGATTGCCCAACTGATCAGCTCTTTCAGCTCGGTGCCACGCATGAGGGAGCACTGCGTTGATCCCAGCGTGACCCGTGCGCTGCAGCTGCATTCTCGTTGCTGTTGAATGATTCGCAGCTATTGCCACCGCCTAATGGTGCTATCTTATGGCTCCTCTGCAACTCCTTGGCCACGGGTCGCTTCGTTACACCGGCCTTCTGCAAAGTAGTTGCTTGTCCTTTGTTCAAACGCCTTTTGGCTATTGACTGCGAAAGGAGCCATTTGGATGAGACTGTGCAGGAACAAAGGCCGTGCTCTTTTAAAAGCTTTGCCAGAATCTCACGCATGCCCGTGCATCACGAAGCAGTGTGTCAAATGGTCGCGCAACGCAATTTTCTTTTTCGAACGCTCGTAATTAAACTTGAGGCCAGGGGGAGGAGGTCGAAAGCTAGCCGAATCGCACCGGATGTACTAGTGCCGGAACGAGGGGTAAGCATCACAAGGACTGTGCATACACTAGGGCGTCCGTAGTGTAGGATA